TTGTTGTCTTTATTTTAAGCATGAATAGCTAAATCTCTTAGTTGGCAAAACCAAGAGGAACCTCCACTTGGGTATACCATTTCAACTCATTCTCCTCCCCTCTTTCAGAGTTCAATGGTTCGGTTTGACTGGGTTGAGGGTGGATAACTTGGTGAGCCTTTGATATTCCGTAGGTCTAGTCACGGTTTATGCTTAGATACTCACCAATCTTACCCCTAGCTTCCCACGAATCAATCGTTCATTCATGCTCTATTGGAGGAGGGTTTCGAGTTGAGACGGTATTCCTATTGGAGTGACCTCTTGGATTTGCCAACATTTGTTTCTCATTTTACTAGCATCAAAACAACTTCACCAAACAACTTCCAACAATCAACGATTTTACACTTTCTTTCTCCCAAAATCACCTCTCCTCGGTTTACTTCTTTCCCCGTGGAAACGATCTTGGAATACCACCAAGTAAAACACGATCCACGAAAGTCTCCTTGCGCTTGGGGAGCACTTTTGTTCACACATACTCACATTTGAAATCTCATTTATCCACCATTCTGTTGCTCTTTCTTTTGACATCATCCCTAGGAGAGTGACACTCCCCTTTATTCATATACTATACATGTTAAAAGGTGATGTTTATAGGTTTGGAAACAACAAGGAAATTTGTCAACCAGCAGAGCCTCATCTCGGCGAGCCGGGTCGTTGACTCATCAACCTGGTTGTGATCGCCATGTATTTGAAAGAAAGTAGTAAGGTAGAAGAATACTTAATTGCTTCTCATAGATAACGTCAAACTGATGATGCACAAAAGTGGATTTATGCACCACCTGTGGAGTAATTAATATAGATTATGAATGCAATAAATATAAAGGTGAGATCCACACATGCAACACGGATATAGAGTGGTTCTGTCAAGGTGACCAACTCCACTTTGAAGACGGCAACGGTAGCCAGTGGTCATTATCTATGAAATAGTAGGTGACAGAGAAAGTAAGAGTATGCTCTTGGTAGTTATGAGAGAGATAGCTGTGTAAGGTGTGTAGAGAGGTACAAAGAGGGGCCCCTCCCATGTGGAAAAGACTTACAATTTATAAACACAGAGTCTTGGTTAAGGCTATAACGTGAGGGTAAAGATACTAGATCTTCGGAGAGGATAGCTACAACTAAAAGATAGGTATAATTAAAAATTCTCTTGATCTTCGAGAATGACTATCTCAATGATTACTCCCCATGTGCCCTAATCTTCTTGGACTCCTTGGACTTTAGACTGGGTCGAACTCACGACCCAGGCTTGACCCGCCTTGTAGCTATTTTGGGCTCATCTCATTAATTAGGCTTGACCTAGTTAAATCCAGGTTCATCAAACTTCTATGCCCACCATGTCCCTTATGTGTATCCACTCTCTTAAGAAAACAAAGTAAAACATTCACCTTAAAATCATTCAACTATAAGCTCATTTCCTATAATTAAAAGCTTGTTTTATGTGTAATCTTTTGTAGGCTGTTTCACGGTTTTTGCACATTTATTTTGATTTTGTGGCATAAGTAAGATATATTTTGTCAAGTTCTTAGATAATTATTTTCTTTCAAAGGGAAATAGATTGATGTCTTAGTTGTCAACTCACATCGACCAAAAGTTTGCTTCTTTATCATCTCCATCCTTTGACCCTTTTATCTTCAAAGTAAATGACCAACTATGCAAAGAAAATAAGAAGGCTTACAAACCAGAAATGCTCGCAATTGGTCCTCATCACCGTCATAATGTTAACCCACAAATGATGGAAAAACACAAACTATGGTACCTGCATGGGTTGCTTAAACGAAGAAATGAGTCGAGTGATAGATATGTCGTGGTCATGCAAGAATTGAAAGAGATTACACGTAATTGTTATGCAGAATCCATTAAACTAAAGAAGGATAAGTTTGTAAAAATGATGCTACTTGACAGGTGTTTTATCATTGAGATGCTTCACAAGTTCAAATATAAACAAGTTGGAGATACACACGATGGTATTTTTGCAATTTCTTAGATTTGGCATGCTTTATTGCGTGATTTACTGTTATTTGAAAACCAACTTCCACCAGACAATATAGTTGACTTAGCCCTCTCCTGTTTAGCTAAATGGGTTCCATATTTTGGGAATTTGCCTCCTTCCAAGATTCCACCAAATAATGTGGATCATCAACTAGGCCTCTTACATGACACCTGGTGTTCCTCATTTGTTGAAATTGTTTACTCTCCTGGGAATGTTTATGCAAGCCATGGAAGTAAATGGAGTTTCATAAAATATGCCATAGAACTTCGACAAGCTGGGATTAAATTCAAGAAAGCTACAGGAAGTGTCCATTTGTTTGAAATAAAGTTCGTAAAAGGAATCATGATAATTCCTCCACTTAAAGTTGTTGATAGTACGGAGTGGTTCTTTAGAAACATGATTGCATATGAGCAGTATAAACAAGGAACCGCGCCAACTTATATGACTGACTACATGATTTTTGTGTGTCGCCTCCTTGATTCTCCAAAGGATGTCAAAATACTTTGCAACTGTGGAGTTATTGATAACTGGTTGGGTGATGGTACAACGGTCTCTAACATGTTCAACAAAATGACCAATTATGTCAACATAACTTTTGAGAAGTTCTGCTACCCAAAAGTTTTTAATGAGGTTAACACGCATTGTGAACATCCTTGGCATACATGGATGGCTAATTTAAAGCACAATTATTTCAACAACCCGTGGTCTATCATTTCAGTCATCGGTGCTTTTGTGTTGCTGGTACTCACTGTGATACAAACTGTATGCTCTATCTTACAAGTCTAATTTTAAGTCCGATTTAATTTACATTACATGCTCGCGACCCCTGTAGTCAATAAATATTATGTTAGAATAAGTTGTACTGATCCTTCAGTCAACCTGTTGTTTCGCAAATGTTGTGTAGACATTGTGATCAATTTGAATGTCTTTTAAGCCACAGGTTGGANGCTTCACAAGTTCAAATATAAACAAGTTGGAGATACACACGATGGTATTTTTGCAATTTCTTAGATTTGGCATGCTTTATTGCGTGATTTACTGTTATTTGAAAATCAACTTCCACCAGACAATATAGTTGACTTAGCCCTCTCCTGTTTAGCTAAATGGGTTCCATATTTTGGGAATTTGCCTCCTTCCAAGATTCCACCAAATAATGTGGATCATCAACTAGGCCTCTTACATGACACCTGGTGTTCCTCATTTGTTGAAATTGTTTACTCTCCTGGGAATGTTTATGCAAGCCATGGAAGTAAATGGAGTTTCATAAAATATGCCATAGAACTTCGACAAGCTGGGATTAAATTCAAGAAAGCTACAGGAAGTGTCCATTTGTTTGAAATAAAGTTCGTAAAAGGAATCATGATAATTCCTCCACTTAAAGTTGTTGATAGTACGGAGTGGTTCTTTAGAAACATGATTGCATATGAGCAGTATAAACAAGGAACCGCGCCAACTTATATGACTGACTACATGATTTTTGTGTGTCGCCTCCTTGATTCTCCAAAGGATGTCAAAATACTTTGCAACTGTGGAGTTATTGATAACTGGTTGGGTGATGGTACAACGGTCTCTAACATGTTCAACAAAATGACCAATTATGTCAACATAACTTTTGAGAAGTTCTGCTACCCAAAAGTTTTTAATGAGGTTAACACGCATTGTGAACATCCTTGGCATACATGGATGGCTAATTTAAAGCACAATTATTTCAACAACCCGTGGTCTATCATTTCAGTCATCGGTGCTTTTGTGTTGCTGGTACTCACTGTGATACAAACTGTATGCTCTATCTTACAAGTCTAATTTTAAGTCCGATTTAATTTACATTACATGCTCGCGACCCCTGTAGTCAATAAATATTATGTTAGAATAAGTTGTACTGATCCTTCAGTCAACCTGTTGTTTCGCAAATGTTGTGTAGACATTGTGATCAATTTGAATGTCTTTTAAGCCACAGGTTGGAGCAAACTTTAAGGATGGTTTTTATGGAGTTGTAACCTAAAAACAATATTAGAATTGAGTTGAGTATGCTATTTAATAGTCAAATGGAAGTTCTGATAATTTGTATGACTTAGAATTGGTTAGTTGTGCATCCTGTGTTATGGGCAAAAAGCACATATTTTTAACAAGAATAGTATTCAAATATAATTTATTAATCAAATAATATAGCACAATCATTTTAAGTTTACTTTTTAAGTCCATGTAACATTACTCTAACATTAATTGATTTGGTCAACAAATTAACTAAGTAATTTAGGTTGAAATAGCACTGGTCAGCGCACTAGCAATCCTCAGCAGTAGGCCACACATATTATTATCTAACATGATGTATCTTGATCCTCTTACATTTCGTTTGGTTGTCGTATAGTAAAAGAAATGATTGTATTAGTTAATACATGCTAATTCTGTATAAGCGGATAAAATACAAGATTAAATATAGGATAAATTTAATACTCATTGTAATCTAGTGTTTTATAAGACACTAGATAAAGGTGGGATAATAGACTCTTAATTATATATTGACAAAAAAAATCATCAATCTTATTTAGTTATTAATGTTTTTGTTTGTTTTGGTGGGTAAAATAGTAAATTTATAACTTAATACGATTAAATTAGACTATAATACCATGCACCTCCACAGGTGGTATGATAATCTACTCAATAATACAGATAGAGTATATTATTTGGATAAGTTTTTAAAATAAGACTATATAATACAGAATATATTTTGAAACCAAATGCAGTACAAGGTTCAATTAGAGAACTTAAATTTGTTTTGACTCCTTAATACATCCCTTAATATTGCAACCAAACGACCCCTTAATTTTGTTAATTTTGACCAATTTCAATCATGCCCTTTTAAGTTCGTTGGATCCTAAAAACAGTCTCAATAGTTGTCCCATGATAGGACCTAATGAATCAACATGGATTGTTGAACCAATTGAAATTGGAAAACATTTAGAGTTAAGGGAACATTTTTTTTTTTGTCAATGATGAGAAATAGAAAGGAATATCAAAAATTCGCATGGTTGATTCTCTAAATTTTGGTCAAGTTCAATAATGTGTCCCTTTACGGTGCATTTGAAAGTCATACAAATCTAGTCTAAAACAGACAATATTATAAGTTAACAATCCAAGATATTGCGAAAACAAAATTAAAGAACTCTATACCTAGAGGAAGTATAGTTAAGTGCGTATTTTTTTCGAAAAGTAAATAAAGTTAAGATTGTATTTGTTTCCATACAACATGCGAGGTTTGGGTTCTACTATTGCAATTTCCATGATTGATGTAATTTGATATTCTTACATCTAAGGATTGAGAAATTGTATAGTGTTAATGGTTGGCATTTGCCAATTAAAAGATAAAAAAATAATTTCTTTGCTCCCTCAAATAGAAATAGACTCAGATCGACTCATTAATTTTGCACAAGTGTAAGTCCGTACTAGAAAACATATTTTTTTGCCCTCGGAGATGTAATAATTGCACTTTACCCCTTGAAAAATTTAAAAACTACACTTTACCTCTTAAAATAATGGATTGTCTTAGGTTACATGCATGGCATATTGGAGGTTAATAGAAGAAAAATGAGACGTTGTTTGCTAATTAGAACAAATGCAACTGTTAAAAAACTAAGAATATAATGCGAGGTATTTAACCTTTGATATCATAGGTGATGACTCTAAGCCCACCACATTCGATTTGTATATTTACTCTATGTTCAAGAAACAAAAGTGACTCGAATGTTTCAACTTTTTTATTTGAAAAAACATCCAATATTATAAGCTCACCACATAAATTATTGCTTTTTGTGAGATCTTTTGTAAGTTGTTTCATAGTTTTTTCACTTTATTTTTGTTTATAGCAGGAGAAGTGAAATATATTTTGACAAATTCCTAGATAGTTTTGTGCTTCAAAAGGAAACTTCGCTCGCATCGAGAGAAAGCTTGCTTCCTCTTCCATGTCCACCCTTTGGCCCTTATATCTTCGAATTAAATGACCAACCACGTAGGAAAAATAAGAAAGTCTATGAATCGAAATTACTTGTTGAAGGGGTTAAACCTTATGAACACACGTGACATGACATTAAATGTACTCACGTGGTATTGACAAGACAAGACACGTGATGGAGAATCCTCTATTAAGTCTTTAACCAAGTCGAGCTAATGAGAAGTTCGGTAAACAAAGAAGAAGTTCGATTCACTTTACGACCGAGCTCATCAATCTATTCGCCAAAGCAAGGAAAAAGCTCGACTGTACCAAGCCGAGTAAATTAAAGTATTCGGGAAGACGAATTGAAGAGAATGGTTTGTGAAAAACCAAGTCCTTAAACCGTTCGGAAAATGTTGAATGTGCTCGACACTCGATATGTCCAAACTGTTCAAAACGATAGATAGAAAGTTAAATATTCGTCTAAAATCTAGGCAATCAGATAAATGAAATCAATAAGATTGAAGATATCAAGAGAGATCGTTGGAGAAATATTAGTAACTTCCCAAACTCAACTACTGAAGTAAAGGAAGGTGTGTCACCTTGAACCGAAATTCATGGAAACCCTAAGGGGATAATGAGGTATAAAAAGTAAAAGAGACCAAGGTGAAAGGTATGCAAAACTCTCCTGTTCTGGTGACAATTCTTTCTGCTCCATTACTGACTTAAGCATCGGAGTGTCTTCGATCGAAACACTTCTATCTTGGGCAATTTGTTCGTTTTGCAGGACAGAGAATAGGAGTTTGTTCAAACTTCTTTTCCAGAAATCATATCTCAAATTCACATTTAGAGGTATCATCAATTTTTTGCCTCTTACATTTGCCGTTGTCTGTGGGAAAATCTTCATCTTTCAGAACAAAAAGCTGCAATGTCAAGACTCATAAGCTCAATTTGATCACCAGTAGGCAGTTTTGCCTTGGGAAATTCAGATCATGCGTCTCATCCTTCTGACAACAACGCAAGGTTGCATGCTGTCAGAATCCCCTCCAGAATCTGTGAAGGTGACGAGGTATCCTCTACGAGTTTCAAGCCCTCGAAAAATCAGAACCAACAGAGCCAGGATCATGGTAAATCCCGCCGTGCCGAGAGGGAGAACCATTCCTTGGCAAAGCTAGTCCAGTCCATGTAGGATCGACTTCATGCCCATGACAAGTTGTTCAAGAAATCCTATGCTAGGGAAAAAGATTTGATCCGAGAAAACGAAGAGTTAAAGGCCAAGTTGAAATAGGTGACTAGAAAGGAAAAGCGGGTGAGAGAAGATCAGCATGAAAGTCCGGGATGAACGCCTAGCAGAGTTAAAATTGCCAATGAGAAATATTACCATCAAAAGAAGCGTTACATCCAGGAGAAGGATACGTGGAAGCAGTATATCAACGAAGAACTCAACATTCGCTTGAAGAGACCAGGCTAAAGGTCAGCTAGGGACCTAGCCAGAAGAGCAACAGGGGAGTACGGAGACAGTTTGGAATCATCCCCATTCACTGCCTGGGTTGAAAGGGCACGAATCCTGAGCAAGTTTATAGTCCCGAACTTCAAGTTGTACGACGGCAAAACCGACCCAGCCTCACATAGTAGGCACTTCCAACAACTGATGACCATTCACCGAAGAAACAAGGCACTAATTTGCACTATCTTCCCTAGCAGTCTTGGGGAATCTTCCATGACGTGGTTCGATAGCTTACCAAAAGGAACGATTGACGGGTGGTCTCAATTAGCCGAGTAGTTCACAGCTCGATTCATCACAAGCAGTAAACAACCAAAGGATGTTGGGGCTCTATTGACACTAAAAAAGAAGAGTAACGAAAGCTTGCGAGAGTATGCGCATCGCTATTGGAAAACTATGAATGAAGTCGAAGGGTGCAATCCAGAAATTGTAGTTGCATCCTTCAAGATCGGTTTGTCGATAGAAAATCCTCTATACCAATCGCTCACGAGGAGACCTGCTATTGAACTAGAAGAATTGATGCCAAGGATTGAAAAGTATCCCAAGGTTGATAACGATTTATCCAGGGAAGTGGTTAAGGAGCATCCGAGCAGGAGACAGTTCGGTAGAGAAAAGCAAACCGAGCCGAACAAAGAGGGAGGGAGGAAGTTTGAGAATGATGGATATCCTCAGAAGTCCCCTTTTCTAGGGGTAAATACATTGTTCAAAGAACCAATATATAAGGCTCTAAGTCAGATCAAAGGAAAGTCGTTCTTCAAGTGGCCGAACAAGCTAATAGGTAATCCATCTAAAAGGAATCCAAACTGTAGGTGCTCGCATCACAGGGATATAGGCCACATGATTGAGAATTGTCAATCTCTCAAACAGCACCTGGAGGAGTTAGTCCATGCTGGACATCTCACAGAGTTCATTAAAAGTGAGCAAAAGACCAAAGAGGGGAGAACTGAACCAAATGGAGACCACAACACTCCAGCAAGAGTGATTGACGTGATCCACGTTGCTACCAACCCACTGATGTCCACAAATAATTCTGCTCGGACTTACATCCAAAAAGCTACTAATGAGAGAGAGGTGTATGAGTTGCGGATGACCCCAGAAGTGACCAGCAAAAGAATCAAGATAGAGGAATCAGTCGAAGCAATCTGCTTCACCGAACAGGACTTGGTCGGAGTTCACCAACCACACAATGATGCCTTAGTCGTTACAATTCGGATTGCGAATTTTGATGTAAAAAAGGTGCTGATTGATCTGGGGAGTTCGTCAGAGATCATGTATTCGGATCTATTTGAGAAACTTGGACTTAAGAAGGAGGATCCTAAGCCTTCAAATACTCCTCTTATTGGCTTTAGTGGAACAACAGTACTTTCTAGG